TTAATGAATTTTTCCTATTCCTTCCACTGACACCAATGATAGGGCACTATTCCTCCCACTGACACCAATGATAGGGCACTATTCCTCCCACTGATACCAATGATGTGGCACTATTCTTCCCACTGACACCAATGATAGGACATTATTCCTCTCACTGACATGAATCATAAGGTATTATTCATCCAACTGATACCAATGACGGGGCATTATTCCTTCCACTGATACCAACTATGGGGCGCTATTCCTCCAATTGACACCAAAGTTGGGATGCTATTCCTCCCCCTAATACTAAAGATGCATGGTTTACTCTCACTGATGCCAGGACAATTTCTGATCCCAAAGACCACAGTCCGACTCCCAAAAACCTGAAGGACAGTAAACTGGCCCTTTGATCTAAATTTAGGGTCTCCAAACTTTCTAAACAAAGCATATTCATGTGTTAGAATGGCCCAGTCACAGTCCAGACCGAAATCCAATGGAGAATCTGTGGCCAGACCTAAAAATTGCTGTCCATAGATGCTCTCCATCCAATAACAGAGCTTGAGTGATTCTGCAAAGAAGAATGGGCAGAAATGTCCCTCTGTATATGTGCAAAGCTGGGAGAGATGTCCCCAAAAAGACTTGCAGATGGAATTGCAGCCAAAGGGGATCCTACAAAATACTGACTACAGGGGGCCGAATGCAATTGCCACCACACTTTTCCCAGATTTATTCGTCACAAATGTTGGAACCATTTCTCATTTTCCATCCACTTCACAATTATGTGCCACTTTGTGTTGGTCTATCACATCCAATCCCAATAAATACATTGTAACATGATAACATGGGGGACATTTCAGGGGGGGGATACATTGTAACACGACAACATGGGGTACATTTTAGGGGGGGATACATTGTAACATGACAACATGGGGGACATTTAAGGGGGGGGAATACATTGTAACATGACAACATGGAGGACATTTCGGGGGGGGGGGGATACATTGTAACATGACAACATGGGGGACATTTCAGGGGGGAAATACATTGTAACATGACAACATGGGGGACATTTCAGGGGGGGAATACACTGTAACATGACAACATGGGGGACATTTCAGGGGGGAAATACATTGTAACATGACAACATGGGGGACATTTCAGGGGGGAAATACATTGTAACATGACAACATGGGGGACATTTCAGTCGTGAGGAAGACTTTTCAAGCCACTGTATATATCACTGATATCTGTACACTGAGTGCAATTCCTTATATATAACACTGATATCTATACACTGAGTGCTATTCCTTATATATAACACTGATATCTGTACATTGCGTGCTATTCCCTATATATAACACTGATATCTGTACACTGGGTGCCACTCAGTGTACACATATCACTGTTTTATATAGGGAATATAGAATAGAAGACTACTATTAACCCCTAGCTTGCCGGGCACTTATACCCCCTTCCTGCCCAGGCCAATTTTTAGCTTTCAGCGATGTCACACTTTGAATGACAATTGAGCGGTCATGCAACACTGTCCCCATATGAAATTTTTATCATTTTTTTGAGACAGATAGAGCTTTTTTGGTGGTATTTAATCCCCTCAGGGTTTTTATTTTTTGCTAAACTAACCAAAAAACAACTGAAAATTTTGAAAACAAAAAAAGCTAGGCCACTCCAGGACCTTAAGGACCTTAAAAACACCCATGCAGAGCAAATTATAACAGCTAAACAAAGCAGAACATATGCAGAAAATATTGTCATCACAAGATGAGTGCTGACATATTCATGAGGAGTGTCAACTTAGAAAGGCTATAATTACCAAAGGAAATACTAGTGCTTGCGGTAGGTATGATGGCTCTGTTAAAGCTAAATTACACTAACAGAAGCCCTTGCCACCCCTCTGAAAAGTGATTTGTAGTATATTGCTTATCATAGGGTGATTGACAGGTGCAAGGGAGATAAGAAATTACCTCCTCACCACCCTGAAAAGCCCACACCACAACACAAGCATTGCACTCGATTGCAGCATGGTTGTGGCATGAACCTTTTCACTTGAAGCAATGCTTCATTGCCATGGTACATGTACAACCCCCTCTGGCCACTGTGCTATGTTAAAGAGGGCAGTTGTCCGCACATAAAACCATGACTCAACAGCCTATTTTTACTTCCCCCATGGCCACAAGTGTGAAAGAATCCCAATGGTTTAATTACTACATTACTTCTGGTGATGCCTGAGTTGTAGAGATGCGGATGGGCACCTAACAAACCACAATATGGGGGACTGGCACAAAGCTTACCAGAATAAAACAATCATGGGAAATATAGCAAAATAAAAAAAATGTAAGGTATTGTTCAATATCAAAGCTTGAGGAGGGATACCAAAACTGGAAAGAAATATTATAAGTATTGCACAGGCAGATGTTGTTATACAAGAATTAAAAGCATCAGCTTGTGTATTTAAGAGCTATATAAACTTGACCAATGGTGGGACAGTTTTAATCAGTGATAATAGGTATAATCAGTGTATGTCTTCTATTTTTACTTTGGGGACAGTGGGTGTGGTGAATATGAATGATATAACATGAGGTTGTGTAGGTGAACACGGTTTCAGTGTTTAGCTTTCTATTATTTTTCTTCTTTTCTTTTCAAATGAAGATTTGGTGTGTCCAAGCAAATTTGGCTGTAAACTCTCCCGGGCAGTGAATTTTGAGCCATAGGATTCACCCTAAATATGCCGTTGTGGTCCCTTTGAACTCCAACCCTAATTCTCTTTATTGAATGATATTTAATACACCAGGGAGTAAGATGGCTGCAGCTACATTTAATTGGCTGAAAAGGGCTAGGATAGTAATAACAAGCTTTATCCAATTAGCATCTAAAAGCATCATTGAGCATGATTGCTTTACACATCTAGGAACCACCTAAACATATAGGAAAACACAACCAAATATTAAAAGTTATACTCCAGCATCGTTGAAAATTCAACCTTGAAATTATTATAAAACACAGCTCGCCTGTACTTCAATTTTTTTTTTATTCAGGATTTGCATAATTTCCAACTGTCAAGGATTGCCCGGGATGGTCACAAATATTTGAATGAAGTCACGCCATTGCTGTGTCCCGGCCAATTTCCTGGAAAACTGAGATCAGGGTGGGGGCAGCAGCAAATAAGGGTTCCTAATTCTGCAAGAGCCTAGTGCAGCAGTTAAAAAAATAAAAACTTTCCTGGTCCTATTTGCTTAGCGGGGAACGTGTGGCCGCAGCACACTGGGGACTATTTTTCCATTTTCTGGAGTGGCAGAGTAATCTCCAGTCCCATTGTTTTGTATTAATAAAGTAAACTCCTAGCATGTGGGTTTTGTCATAAAAGAGTTTCCAGAGGTGAACAAGTGTTTTTTCTACTTTACCTAGGGAAACCTTCTGGAAAAGCCATGTGACACAATGAGAAAGATTTACTAAAAGCTGTAAATGTTCACCCAACAAAGAGTAAATATTCACTTCAGACATCAAGTCCTATACAGATTAAATAAGCAAACTTGAATTTGACTTTGGCTTACTGATTTTTTTGAGTGAAAAGTTTCAACTCCTGTGGAAATTCAGCCTGTCTGTTTTGCAAGTGTGCATGCATGCCTGCACACACTATTTTTAACTTGCACTTTATAGAGTATTTATTAAAAAATGTTCTGCTTTAAACACTTAGGAGTAAATAAGGCACTCATACAAAGTAAATTTGAGAGTCTCTGTTGGTAAAAAAAAAAAATATTTTAATGTGAGAGCTTTTTGTAATTGGTTTTGATTTTATTTTTTATTTACTTATTTGTATTTATTTATTTCATTTTGGTGATGACATCCCTTTAGAGTAATGACAAAGAAGCTGTCAGTGATGTTATTTTAAAATATGTTCAGTCTTAATTTTGTGTCAAGGAGGTGTTAAGTTTTGTGACCCATTTTGTAGATTCTGTGATGTTAAACTGATTTTTCTTATAACATTTGGTATGTACCAAAGTACATGTCTCGACAGCTTTTAATAAAGAATAGGGCAGGATATTTCCCTGAAATAAAATAATGAAATTTCTGGTAAGGACTAAATTTATTACTGACAGCTGTGGAAGGAAAATCATTTTTATTATGTTCTTAAAAAAAAAAAGACTTTTGAAATTACAAGACTCTATAAAATTATTAGGGCAGCTATATTCTTTTGCTTTTCAGAAACTGGGATTTAGTCTAAAAAAAAAGCGTCTTGCATTTTAAAATTACTACAGAGACTAAAAAAAGTACAAGAAGCTGAAAACCATTTGGAAACAGCCTTTATTCATATGTAAAGATTTCTATTCATTTTTATAAAGTTTGGCTTGTGTTTTTTTTTTCTTTTTTACATGTACTAAATTAACCTTTCTAATATTCACTTGACATTTTCTGTCATTGAATAAATGTAAAATATATAAAAATGTGTTCCAAAAAAGATTCAATCACTTTACAATACTTAAGAGGTATTTAAATAGATACTTTAACTATTGTTTTTAACTATTTCATTTGGAATAGAGGACTTTGCAAATAAAGTTTTTATTCAATGAACACTGAGATAGAACAGTCAAAATTTATTTTATCATTCATCTCCTATTTTTATGTACTTGTTTTAATTTTTGCGATCATATAGAAAAGCAATATTACTCTTAAAAGGTAAGGTTGCGAAAGACTGGCCCATTCTGATGTTTATAAAGTTCTTTTAAGGCGTTTCAAATCTACCTTTGAGATGTATTTAAATAGCTTCCTGTTCATATCATAACACTTCACCTTAGTGCTTGCAGTAATGTTCTAAATTTTTTTATACCGTAAATACATATACTAAGAGTGACCCTTTTACTGAAGACCTTTTGCATTCCCCATTGGTTCTGGAATCCTTATACAGTATATTAGCTATTTAAATTTTACACCCAAGGATGGGAGGGTGCCACACTTAACTGTTTCTTGCTTCAGCGCTTGGGACTTTCCCTCTATGTACAGCCCAGAGGCGGACTGACCATTTGGAAACTCGGGCACTGTCCGAGGGCCCGGGCTCAGTAGGGGACCCATGAGATGCCCCTGGTACCTTTTTCATAGGCTTTTTTGAGTTTGGGCAAGGACACAGGGGCCCCATGATCCCCTATTGCCCGGAGGCCTCATGAGTTGTCAGTCCGCCCCTGGTACAGCCGCCAGCTTCCAGACAATTAATACAATTACAAAGGGCACACTGTGTTAAAGCATTAGCATGCAGGATGCTCATTGAGTGCTCAGTGCATCCGCACACTAGATGTCAGACTCCTCTTTGCTTCTAAGCATATTCTCTCGTGTTTACCAGTGCCACTCAGTGTTGATGGAGAGAAAAGACACAGCTCAAAACCTACATAGTGCAGTATGTCAAATCCAGAAAATGTATTAAAAACATAATAAAATGCACACATAGAGGTTAAAGTGACAAATGGATGGTGGAATACTGCTGGATCAATGCGCAGTGAGGAAGCTGACAATGTACAGAGCATTCCGTATATGATTGAATTGAATGCACTACATATGCTGTGCTACAGTTAATTAAATCTTTTATGGGTTAAACTTCACAAGTAGTCATATAATACACTTCCCTCATTTTTATCTGTAATTTGCAATATTTATATGATTTTATAACACATTCACAAGAACCTCTGTGGGCAAGCTATTTTTGTTTTCTCCTAGTAATGAAACTAACTCAGGGACAACAAAGGGCCTAGGGTTGGAGCCCTTCAACTTGAAAAAAATGGCAACCTTTTCTTAAGATAGCATGGGAGCTTTACAAAGAATGGGTAAGTTATTCTTGATGATATTGACTATGTTTGCATTTTTTGTAGAATACATAATCACAAAAGTGACACCACGGCTAGAATTCTTACTTTTTTTTAGTATAGTTTTTAGATGTCACCTACACCTCATTAATAAGAGAGTCCTGTGATTTTAAATGCTATGCAGAGACTTCAGGGGCACCGGATACATTCTGTCAATCTCTTAGAAAGAAATTGGAGCAGGAGTGTATTCTACAGAATATACAGAAATAGTAAATATCAGGAAGAATTTCATCATTAATTCTACAGATCCTACTCTGTGAAACATCTTAAGAGAAGGTTGCCACTTTTCAAATCAAAAGGTTACCACTGTAGGTACTTTATTGTTCCTGGGATTGTTTCAGTGCTTTTATTTTACATTTTTAGATTCTCAGGGCGATGTGGGACCCCACGGATTGATGGCATTCTCCTGATGGTTAGGTGTGCAAGTGCAAGATCATGGCATCTGAACCAGGTTCTTCTCACCCCTGATGCCCTCAGGTGGTGGGCTGCCTCTGGGGTGATTTATCTGTGGCATTGGGAATATTGGCAGGCTTATCTTGCATTGCCTTGGTGTTGCCAAGACATCTCCTGTGTTGATCCAGCCACAATTGGCTGATCGCCAGGTGCATGCACTGGAGGACTGTGCATGTGCAATGACATACATGCATGTACAAATAGCAGTGGGGGGCTGGCTGCAATGAGGGACTCTCCTTTTTGACAATGTGAGGCACACATGCAATAATGTTTGTTTCTCCAGTGACGTGGCGGGGCCGCAATCTGTGACTGAGCAAGTATTTATTCCAGTTACCTGTACAAATGGTTTGGCTTCATATTTGTGTTTATGTATGTAAACAATCTATCTAGTTAAATAAAAGAAACATTATTAAGAAAGCTTTAACATATTACAAAATATAAACAGTAAGGCAGGAAAGACATAAGATAAACATTTAGATATAAGTGCAAGGGATATATTCCATAATTAACATGGAACTGCACATACAGTACAGGTTCCATTCTCCTAACTGGTGTTCCAAAGAGGCCCTCTCTTTTCTTCTCGTGTCTATTGTTATAGGCCTCTCCTCCATTAGTTTTCATGGAGTAGCTCTGATTGGTTGGCAAATCTATTCCTTTTTATAATTGGCTAACTTCAAATCCCCTGTATTTAGCATACAACAACCCCCTTTAAGGCAAATCTTGGCACAAACTTTATGGAATTTAAGTATGCCAGTTCATGACCTTTTCCTTGGAAATTAAGTATTCATGAAAGGCTGGCCACCTTCATTGCATTTCTAAATGAGGGATCCTTTTGAAGTGGATATTTGTGAAGCCAACAGGTTTGGGTCCCATAATTAGAAAAACTAACTCTGGCACTGAACTGTCTGAAAGAGTATTGAGGAGTGTCGAGACTTCTGTTCCACAGTAAAGAAATTGTAATTAATAGAATATTCCCTCTGGCAACTTAAACCATCCCCAACTATCTGTAGAACAGGGATTTATGGGAAGACATATTACACACCCACACTGATACAGCTCTAACTGAAATGCATTCATAATTACAATATTATGTACAGTGGTAATGGAAATTTCATATAAGCTCATTATCTAACAGTGGCACTATTCATGCTTGCTTTTTGGTAATTACAGGCTCTCTGTAATGTGAATTCTACACCATTATGGCCTAACAGCCCTGTGGATGCTCTAAGGACATTGTGACCTGTTTTAGCACTTTAGCAAGTACTCTTTATACAATAAGGTTAATCCTTTGAATTCACTAAATATATTGTTTTTTTATAAGGTGGCCCTCTCTTCCCCTCAGCAGTTTGAAATTATGCCCACATCTCCCCTGGGGCTGAGTTCACCTGTGACCCCGAGGTGTCCTGTCTATTGCCTTGAGAATTCTGCACATTGTGTGACATTCATATGTCTATATTCTAGTAAGTGTCTTACTGGTTGTTTCCTGATTGTATACACTGAAAATATTCCTGGCTATTATTTGTAATCTTCTCTGTTCTATAGATGCATTTCAAGCTCCTAAGGAAGGGACTTCAATCTCGAAACATATTGGGCAGATTGTGAACAGTGGAGGTAGTGGACCATATAACATCCATACCAAGTGCCCAACATTATGAACTTCAACCCAATTGGGGAGAACACACTGAATTTTCAGTAAAATGCATTACATTTTTAAATGAGCTATATTGATTTTATATTTAATATTTTTATTGGTATTAAAGATAAAATAAAACTTACAAAGAGCTTTGAATGTGTTCTATGATGCATATAGATAATAAGAGAAATAAACTGAAAAACAGAACAGAATAGTACGGACTGACTGTGCAACATACAATCTTACTTATATGTAATATATGAATCATTTAGACAGAATTATGGATAAGGTCTACAAGTATGGTATATTGATCATATTTTTTAGTCTAAAAATCTTGTTATCCAACCTATTACAGTGCAGGAACAACAGTGTTGTCTATCTTGTTTATGCATTAGTCATAAACCATATAGCTAAGCAGTTCTCTAATAAAGACATTTGAATAAGAAACAGAAAAAGAAGAGTTAAGAGTGATAATTATTTTTCTAGAATTGTTGATCCTCTCCCAAGGTGCCCAATTATGGTGAAACTTGTTCACTATACCTTCAACCTCTCCTACATTTGGAGTAAGCTGTGATTTCCATTTACATAGTAATGTTAATCGTGCTGCAAATAGAATATGTATACATATAGGTCTTAATGAAATTGGTATCTTGTCAATGTTAACACTTAGTATAGCTTGTTCTATTGTGAATTTTGTTATTATTAGAGATATTTTCCAGAAAAGTTTTGAAATTTAATTTCAGAGGCTGTGTATATGGGTACACAGGACCAGAGCATATAGTCGAGAGTACCCACCCGTCCGCAGCCACTCCAACACAGATTAGAGTTATTGCCAGTAAACTTGGATAACTTATATGATGAATAGCTTTCTGCCACTGTTGGTCTTCCTCCCATTTTAATAGATGTCTCGGTTTTTCAAATTTAACTTTAGATTTCAAGCAGAGACCAGAGCATATGGTCAAGCGTGACCACCTGTCCGCAGCCCCTCCAACACAGATTAGAGTTATTGCCAGTAAACTTGGATAGCATATATGGAGTATAGTACCACCTAAGGTGGCTTTTATGAGCAATTTCCCAGTAAGTGGAATATTTAGAAAATATAAGATTATAATGATTAGCTTTCTGCCACTGTTGGTCTTCCTCCTATTTTAACAGATGTCTCGGTTTTTCAAATTTAAGTTTAGATTGCAAGCACTTATAGAATAACAAATTCCTCTCATCTTATTATTGAGAGAATTCCAAAATTTCCATACCTCCATAGGAAGTGTTGGATTAGGGATGGAATTATTGTGCATTCATGAAGTTATCTGAGAATATTTCAAGAAGTTACTCTCTGGTAGGGAGAATCTATTTGCTATATGTTTAAATGAGAGTAATTTTCCATTTATTATTATATCTGTCAGCCATAAAATACCTTTATATTCCCATTGTTTAGCTGATAGAATGGGGATATGAAAATTGAGAATTTCAAGTGGTAGGGGTATTAAAAAGGTCCCCGAGTCGAGACCCCACAATTGCGTATATTTTTCCATGCCTTCAAGGCCGCTGTAATTATAGGGTTTAGGTTTATTGGAAGTTCTGTTACTGAGGGATCAAATAGTAAGAGGGCTCTTAGTGTGCCCTGGGATATAGTGGCTTGTTCTATTCTACTCCAGGATTTAAGGTGCTGTGGTAAAAATCAGTAGTGTAGTTGATCTAGAATAGCTGCCATGTAGTAGTCTTTACATCTGGTATTCCTATACCACTTGTTTTCCTATGTTTGGACAGTAAACTACTTGGACATCTCGCTCTTTGGTGTGCCCAGATAAATTTGGAGATCAAACCTTGTGTAATATGGAAGAAACATGAAGGCAAAGTTATTGTCCAAGTACGAAAGTAATAATACTGTAAGCAAGGTAAAATTAGTATTTTAAATGCTGCCAATATGCCTGCCCAGGAGAGGTGGAATTTTTTTAAATGCTTGAGTTCTTTCTGAATTTATTGAGTAATGGTATATAGTTGGTTTGATATAATTTTGCAAAAGGTGTTGTCAACGTAATACTTAAGTATTGTAAAGTATCCGTGGCCCAGGGATATGGCAGAGTAGATTTTAGCCTTTTCTGTTGTTCTTTTGACATTCTTATACCTAGGATACTGGATTTCAACACATTAATATAATAAGATAAATTGTTAAATGTTTGCAAACTATCATGTACCACAGGCAAGGAAATAGCTGGTTTAGACAGAGATAAGATAACATTGT